TATGTAGAGATACTGCTTGCAAACCAATGATGGTAAGATGATGTCATGGGGTAGGACTGGATAAGTCTGACTTCTTCCTACTCCATTCAAGCATGTACTAGGTATAAGTAAATTGATATTGGATTATGTGTAAAATTATGTGTGTTGTCATATCAACTGTTTTTACATGCTTGAAAGAATAAATCAAATCAAATCAAATCAAATCAAATCAAAGCCGTCTTCTGATCAAAATGGAGGGTGTGCAGTTTTCCAAACAGAAAAATCAATGGCCCTCTGGACCATCAGCCGTGCTGCAGGTAACACTGGTGTTGTCACAGGAAACGTCAGGGTGAGACCAGGCCTTCTTAGCCTACTACAAGCCAGTAACAGAATATCGAGTACTTTTTCTACAGTACAATTTCAATACTCCATCACTGCCACGTACTGAACTGATCCCAAGGCATTGTGGTGTCTTCTCAGTTTAGTCAGTAAATGATTGATTTACTGAAGCTTCAGGTTTAACAGACATTCTGTTCTGTTATTGGTTTTAAACAGAAAACTGTGGGGAACAAAAGCACTTTCACATAAACTAAACCAAAAACTAACTAAAAAAAAAAAAAAACCTAATCCTATTCAGTGTACAGCGACTACTGCTGGTGACTGAGCTCAGGCCTCCACCCTGACTGCCACAGTCCTCAAACATCTGGCTTTTGCCCTGACAGTCTGCAGTGTCACAGGAGACACTGATCAACACACACTCCTTCCGCTGGCCCCTCCCTCACGCTCGGACACAACTACAGCTGCATGGCCATATAAATATTTTGACCTTCGACCCCCACTGCAGCTGCACCGAGCAGCCAGGTGATGGCGAGGAGTGGGGACGAGGGCTGATGACGCCATAATAAACTGCAGTGTGTGTGTTGGAGTGCGTGCTGTGGCTCTGGGCGGCGTGCATGTGTTCGAGTGCAGCACTGCTGGATGTGTTGGTGCCACCTGTGCCTCCTCGTCTCACTGAGATGAGGGTCTCTTTCTGAAGGAAACATCTTTACAGAGACTTCGAGAGCTCGAAAATGACAAAGATAAAATTAAAAATTCTGACCAACTGGGAAAAACAGCAAAAAAAAATGTGACTGAGAAAATGAACATCTATGATCAGACAAAATGAGGCGCTCTGACCATTTATCGAATCACTACCACATTTGTTCAAAAGAGCTATTTTTACATTGTCTTACATAATCATCAGTGTCTGTTAATGAAGCGCTGGTGCCGGAGCTGGTGCCTTCTTTCCTCCATTCAGCCTGAGTCAGGTTCTTCTTCTGTTTATTACATATAAATCCAGAAATGTTCACATGAATGTTTACAATGGAAAAGTTCTGAAAACGGTTTCTAGATGTGAATCGGTCTAATGAGTCAGTGCCAGACAGCTGCCGAGCTTCATCCGTTTGTGATCATCTCAGAAGCTGTTCCTGCGTGTCCACCCCTCTGACATGACGTATATTACAAATACAAGCTTAGTCAGCTGTTAGGCGTATTTACATCTTTGCACTGACTCGTATTACCTTTCTTTTTTTACTTTATTTGTTTGCACTTGTTTTTGTTTCTGTCAGTGCACCTCAGGTTGTCCTTCATTCATTCTGTTTGTGTGCCATTTTGCACTGCTGACATGTAGCATCATCTGTCCCAGACAAGTGAAACTCCCTCTGCGCTGTGGACCTGGACACAAAGCTGCATGGCTGCTAACATCTGTATAAAACAGCAGCTGTTTTGTTGAGAACCTGTCTGAAGTAATGCATTAGTTTCACCAAATAAGAACAGTGTGCACGTCACACTGGGGTCACCGAGGTCAAATGTCAGTTACAGTTACATCATGATGTGCTATTACACACCAACTCGAATCGGTGCGAGTAGTTTAATTCAAATCCCCAGAGAAACGTGTGACTCAGCAGACCACCAGTGAACTCGGTGTGGAGCAACACCAGTCTGATCACAGACAGACTGGTTTATTGTTCAGCAGACAGGACTCACCATGATGAGGGAGCTCAGCAACATGGTCTGGATCCTCTTGGTGCCCTTGTGCCTGAGCAGAGGAAGAAGAGAGGAGTCAACAGGAGTCTCTCTTTTTGTTTGAACAAATCTGATTTCTTCAGTCTGCACACACAATTAGCAGCACAAAGCAGCTGTAGGCCAGCTCTGTACTAGGCCACGTGTACACGGTTTCAAGACCGTCTTCAGACCAACACTATTACTGTGTCAAATTAATTATAATGAGGCTCCTTCACAAAATAACACAGGGTCGACTGGGACAGAAACTGAACGTGGCTCAACTTATGTCACAGCAACTGAACAGACAGTGCAACAAGTACAACATCAACAGCCCTAATTATTTTGTTTACGGCTAAGGGTGAAAATTCCCCATTCTGAGATGTTTAGGTATCAAACCACAGATCTTACATCTTTCTTTAACGTGAACTATACAGAAGAGAGACAAAGTACAGCAGCGTTAGTGATGGTTTTCCAGACAACTGCCTAATGAGACAGAGGTCTGGTTATGAACTCAGAACGTGAACATTTAAAATGAGCCAAGTAGAGGCTGAACAGCCCCGCCTAGACCTGTTTGATCAATAAGGTTGACTTTGCTTTGTTCTTGTTGGACTGTGTTGCAGGTACACTCCTCTCGGCTCCCCACGTCCACCTCACCGTGACCCACTTACCTTGTAAAAATAATAAAGGCAAAAAGGAAACCTGAAACTGGTTTCTGTGCTGAAAAGATGGTGTGGAGCCAGCATGTTCAGACCCCACCTGTCTCTTCAGTAGGGGGGACCACGGGCTCACTGGTTAACGACTGGGTGACTCACCCAATCTTGGCGGTGTCCAAGGTGTGGCACGGGGTACCGTACACTGGCACCTTGCCCATGATGAACATCATGACTTCAGCTCGCTGGTAGTCTGGCAGGTTTCCACCGAAGAAGCCTGGCAGGAGGACATGAGAGCTGAGTCAGCAGTCGCACTCACACTTCTATAGGACAGTTACATTCTCTCTCCTGTTCGCTCTGATAGAGTCTCCACTGCCGGAGCCTCCCCTGAAAACCATAGAAGACTACAGATTTTACCTCCTGTGTTGTCACATGATGGCCACCGGGAGACAGGAAATGACTAGTGAACGATATGGATCAGAAAATCGACACAAGAGTCAGTGCTAGTGTCAGCAGCCACTTAGTGCAGAACCTGCAGCACTGGTGTTGAGTACACAGAGAGGAGTAACACGGACCTGGTTAGTAGCGACATCACAAAGGCGACATGTTGCTGAACCAAGGGGAATGCTGCAGTTTACTGCGAGGGCAGTCAGCTCGGGGCAGGTAACGGTGCTAGTGGTGTTAGCAGCTACATTCAGAGCACATCAGCTGATATTTAATTCCACCCAGTTGGGTTGAAGTCAGTAACTGAAGCTATAAGCTCTTTCATTTGCACGGAGACGTGCCTGTGATGCTGAAAATATGGGATTTGGACAAATGACAGTGGCTCTGAAGCTGAGGCAAAGAAAAACAAGTCAGCAGGAGTTAAGTGAAAAATGCATTGTAGTTCTCTGTGATAAGGTGAAACATCAGCTGGAGGCATCATTTTAATCATCTATTTGACTTTTGCTGCTTAAAATAAGAAACTGCTTTAAGGAAACTAACTCGTTTTAATTTTATACCCTAAACAAATACTTTAATGGATGTAAAGTCTTTCTCATAAAAGCTAAATTAAAACAAAATATCTGCTCAATTAAAATCATGCTGAATCATACTGTATTGTATCATGACAGTATCGTTTTCGTATTTAATCATGGACCATGTATCGAGATACGTATCGAATCGTGCGAGACAGATACACACTAGCAGTGAGTCATCAGCGTACATACGGTATTGGTAGTACTGTTTTAATAAGACAGGAAGTACCGATGGTCTGAATGATGGCATTCTGGACAATCCGCTCTTCGCTCTCCTTGCCGCGGCCGGATGAAACACTGGCGCTGGAGTTTCTCCTCGAGCTCTCGCCAAGCTCAAAGTCCACACTCATCCTCAGGTGTTTGAGCAGAGTGTTGAACACCTCCAGCACGGTTGGACCTGCAATCACACCACAGAAGAACAACACTAAAGTTAAAGGAGAGGGATTTTTGGCTGAGATTTCCAGATGGTACCTACTATGACAGATTGAGGCAAGTTCTGGAGCAGGGCCTTAAACTGTGGGAAGGTACCAATATGACTTCACAGCTGTAATCAGTCAAGCTTTCCTTTAAAGAAGTGTCTGACAAAACCATTTCTTTCATTTTGTTCATCCCGTCTGGCCCTTCTGTTTTTATTTCAACCTCCACAGCTTTAGGTTTGGAGAGATCCTCATCTTCCACGCTGACAGTGTCGCCTTACCCCAGTTCTACATTGGAGCTGCATGATGTTGACACTGAGACTCCATGTTTTTATGGCTGCACCTTTCAAGTAAATTGAGAAATTCACATCTTCACACTGCACCGAGCCACAGGTTGGGAGGAAACGTGGTTTCACTTTCAAACATATCACTTGTTTTGGATTCCTGAATCATTCCTGTCCAGATTGATGGCCAGTTTGTTCCAGGTGCAGGCAGTAAAACACAGGTAGGAGGAATTAAACACAATCACTTGATCTACAGTTATCAACAAGTTAAACTTTTCTCCAACACATTTCAAGAAACTTTTTCAGGAAACCTAACTCTGCTCAGCAGCAGAGTGTTTTCACCTCTGTTAAACACTGAATTTAAAATCGAGTTGTTTTAAATGATTGGCAGTAAATGTTTTCTGTTTATTTCTGTTCCTCTTTTCAAAAGTGGCAAACCTTCAGCTTTTTTAATTATGAGGCAATTAACGCATACAAAACGAAACCACGGAGCAGGAGCTCTGATAGGACTAACACAGCAGCACCTTTTTCAACACCTCTGATCCTCAGTTTTTGATTTTCTGCTCATTTCTTTGTTTTCCTACCAGAAATAATTAAACTGAGAGGATGGGTGGCCGTGGTCACTAGAGGCCACGGCTCCAACGTGGCACCGAGATCGGCAACCTGCCCCACGCTCTTGTTTCAATTACCTGATGAAAGTGTACAGGCTACGTCATGGTTTTAATGAGCTCCTTTCTGGGCTGTCAGAACCTGAAGGCACATATGATATAATCCTCTGCAGTGGGAGGTGTTTATATTAAGACTGCACTTGCACTCTGTGCAGTTTTCTTCAATGCTTAATTTAGCAAATGTAAGATACAGAAGAAATTACTTTTAATTGGCTGCTTCAAATGAAGTGAAGCAGCAGACTGACACACCACTTGTTTGTAACAGAAACAACTGACTAACACGTCAGGTTTCATGTAAACGATGACACGAACAAATGCAACCTAGGTTTCAGCTTCACAGAGGAGAGGATCGGCTGCTTTTTAATCAGATGAACTGCATTAAATATGCATCTCTGGGTTTTAGAGTATTACAGTAGCTTGACAAAACCAGGCATTTTAATATGTTGTCTGAGGCTCTGGGCATTCCCATCTCTCTCTGAAGCACTCTGGTCAACATCTGTTGTTGTTAAATGTGTTCTATACTGTATATTAACTGACACTGCCTGACTAGCTGAGAGGAACTGGGAGCCATGTACGTCAGTCTGCTGAAACTTTATTTTCACTTGACTTACAGGCAAATACATTAAGTGGCTAAATGTTTAGCACTATTTTTTATTAAACTTGTATTTTATCAAACCAAAAGTTAGAGGACAGCTTGTTACTGGTCCTGCGAAGGGAACCAGTCTGGTCCTTGAACTCACCCACTGATCCTTTGGCGGCGATGGCCACCGTCTCCAGAAGGACCTGGACGATGCCGGCTCTGACCCGTGGCGTGTTCTTGTTGTTAGTGTCCAGGTGGTTGAGAACCTGCTGGATGACATGGTGGGAGTGCTGGGCCTGCACAGCCACAAAGGCAGAGAGAAAAAGGTTTCAAGATGCATCCACATTGAAAAGGAACCAGAAATTCAGCACACTGATGGTCACCTGGACTCACTTTATTTGACTATAGCCTTTTACAGACAGATGCTGGAACTACAGATGTAGGCATAATGCAGTGTTGTTAACCCTGCGTGATCCAACCTGCAGCCCTCCTTTTGGCCACCAGATGTCGCAAAGCCTACTATATGGCCCACCAACAGCATAGGTTTCTGAATTGTCAAACCATACAGTCTTATACGCGAGGTTTCACGTCTCCAGTCAAAGATCTTCTGCTCACTGATACATGTGATTGGTTGAAATGTTGTGCTGAGAGAACATCCTTACATTCAAGTAGCGTTACTTTTTATTTGTAATATCATTGCAGCAAGATTTGAAAATGGAGCCTTTCACTTGTTCTTCTGATGAGTGGTTAAAATAATGCCCAGGACCGGGGGCTCCACGCTGCAGGCTGGTAACACCAAACCGACACGAGTTAGGTGTCATTTCTCAGTGGCTGGCGTTGGAATATTATCCAACAGTCAAACACCTTCCCTAAAGAAGAGCTGCATAGAAACGTTCTAGGAGACATGGTGACCTAAGAAGTGCAATTTTTGAAAAACTGAACATACTGGTGCAGTCGAAGTCCACTCAGGACGTCTTTTGGATTAAAAAGAACTAGTCACATTTCCTGTGAGAAACTGTGCACCTCAGTTTTCTGCATCTGAGGTGATAAGGTGATTTAATGACTGCAGCACATCCTGGTCTGTTCCTGCTCCTGAGTGAAGAAATCACGACACTGAAGGTGACAATTTCAGAAATTAACCTGTGAAAACTGAACAAGTTTCCTGGAGCTGCTAGACGTGAACCACACTTGTATTGTACTCATCAGCAGCCACTCAAGGTGGAAGCTTTGTTTTTAACTGGTCCAAACTCTGATGCTTCCTCCTGACAGCAGAATGATTGACTGTCCCCCCAACCTCAGGCACACAGTGGCATCCACACAGAAATGGACATGCATTCACAGGGAGCCCAGCACCGCTGCCTGAAGTTTATCGGTGGCAGCATCCCAGAATCACCTGGGAGCCGCTGGACGAGCAAGCAATTAAACAGAAAGGAAAGAGAGAGAGGGAGCGGGGTGGAGGTCTGGGGTATGGGAGTGTGAAGAAGTAGAGAGAGAGAGTGGACTGATGGTGGAAAATGTGACAGACAGCAGTAATAAGGGCCCAGCAGTCTGGAGGTAAACACAAGAGTAGCTGGTGCTTAAAGAAGTGTCAAATGTATTTGTCCTCTGCTCAACAACAGGGTAAATGAACTGTGTCAAAATCACCTGCAGACCTTTTCACAAAGCTCAAGTTTTCTTTATAATAAGTTTAATACAAAAAAAACAACTCTTATCAGGACTTTGTGGGTGTGGTTTGATGGACAGTCGCCTGCTAACACAAGCAGACAACCCACTATATGTCATCAGACTGATTCAGTGTCTGCTGGTGCAATCCAGAGAAATCCTCTGGGTTGGCACACACACACCCACGCCTTTCTGCAGGTGCTGGCTAACAATCTGCTGCTAATGTTGTCAGCTACATCCAGAAAGGAGAACTGGGGATGAGGCAGGACTGGGCAGGTGTTTGTGCTTCTCTAATGGTGAAACTTCCTCTTAAAGGCACCAACTGGGAATAAATACGAATACTTTTCTCTTGAAATGCTAACAGTGAGAACAGAGTGAGGAACCCTGGCTGCAGGTTAGCATTAAGCATCTGGTTTCAGCCATACATCTGGACAGGTGACCCACATTACATCTCTTTCTCCCATCGTTTCCTATCATATCTCCCTGTTAAGGTGAGTGACAATGCTGGAGCCTGACTCAGGGTTTAGTTTAGGTGTGTACTGTACCTGGATGGAGTACATGATGATTCTGAAGCAGGAAACTGCAAACTCATTTGGGTCCCACAAGTGATGATTATCCAGGTGACTGGAGACAGAAAAGAATAAAGGAGATCATTAATAACAGAACTGAAGGAGCAGCAGCAGCATCAAGATCTGACTCCACTGATATGTTGTGTCACTTTTCACTGAGCGTTTCTCCTTCTGTATGAACCAGGTCCCTTCATTCACCAGGCTGAGGATGTGTCTGACGTCACCAACTGTGAAGATGCTGAACTTTTGGAACCCATATGTTTGATTATTTGTGAAAAAAAGAACATTAAAAGTGAAGTATTAGTCTCAACTACTCATTTATTTTTAAACTGTGACATTAGTTCTAAAGAAAGGGTTAACAATACGTTTATAGGAACTAGATGGTGTTTTTCTCTTTATATGTTCAGGACTCTAGAGGAAACCGTTTCCAGACAGTAAACAGCATGAAATCCAGAATAAACACTGAAGATGTGGCTGAGTTGGATTATGGGAACTTGTTGAACACCAATGTTCAACCACAGCATGTCTCTGACAAACCATCTATGCTGGGTATCTCAGCAAACTGCTCAGCCGCAGAATCTATTGTAAAACAACTGCGTGGTTTGGCTTCCACAGTAAAAACCTGGGAGAGGTTTAATCATCCTCCCTCAAACCAACCACAGGCAGCTGCATTTTCTCTACACAGAAATCTGGTAAACAACCTTTGTTTTTAGCTGCAAATTAAATCAATTCTCATCAGTTCTGAGTAGAATACAAGTGAAGGTGAACAGGGAGCTTGCTATAAATCTGAGAAAGAGTAACCAATCACCATGCATAGAGAGGTCAGCGCTGTACTTTTACTGCAGATACAGTGACTGCAGCTGGCACCAAAGACCATCTGAGAGCAGATGGCTGTCCAACACCAGGCTTTGAGTTTGGTTATAGTTGAAAATTAAGCTCTGTTACCTACATGAATAGTTCATATTGACCAAATAATCAGAAGTGTCCTCAGTCCAACTGTTTAACTGAACAAAGCGCAGCCTGCAGACTATGAGATAAAGATAGACAAATATAATTAGACGCTGCAGAGGAGGATCACTCACACAACAAGCATACAAATACAGGACGAGATGAGAACATTTAATTTTAGAAAAAAGGGCAAAAGAGAAAAATATTCACATGTATTTCAACTCAAACTGGGAGCTGAAGATATGCATGAGGTCAAAAGTCTAATAAAGCATCACGTGGGTGCAGAAGAAGATGTAGATGAGCGTGAGCAGCAGATGGAGGACGACAGATTTACTCGTCTGTGGGAGCCGACCTGCAGCCTCAAAGGTAAACTCATCTACAAGATTCATCTGCTGTTTGTGTCTGCACACGCACTAGGGACACCAAGTCAAGTCAAGTGTTTATTGTCACATGCACAATGAGGAAACATGTTTCCCTGTACAATGACATTTTTACTTTGCCATCCGCACAAATGCCACACAATATAAATGGAATATGAAGTTGATACATAGGTACAAAAATCTAAGGCACTTTAAAACAGCCAATGAAAGAAGCATAAAGAAAAATACAAGAACACGATGCAGCGAAGAGAGAATGTATGCTACATGGGAGCCGTGTGTGCAAATATTCAGCAGTGAGTGTGCAATTGTGCATGTGCGAACAGTGTGTAAATAGTGTGGGAGCTGAAGATATGCATGAGGTCAAAAGTCTAATAAAGCATCACGTGGAATTACATGAGGTAGTTCCTGAGTCAGCTGTTTAGGAGCCTGATGGCAGTCGGAAAGAAAGTCTTTCAGTCTGGAGGTCCTGCATTTCACACTCCTCTACTTCCGGCCCGACGGTAACTAGCAGAGAGGTCTAACTAGCAGAATGAGGTTTTAAAAAGAGAGGAGCTAATGAAGCAGAGCAACCTTATCTCACATTTACAGTAGGATTAAACAGGGATCTTTTGAAGGCACATCATCCAAAATATCTATGTTCTGATGGGAAAATATCTGAAAAACACATTCACAAATGACCATCAGAGTAAAACTGTTTCACAGAACAAAAAGTTTCTGGCCATCTCTAATGTTCCTGTAGACAGTGACTCACCGGGACAAAAGTCAGAGCTGTAACTAATGAACAGAAAGGCAGAGGGATTATGTTCCACAGGAGAGATGCTGAGCAGGGCGCCGCTGCCCCTCGTTTTCAGTGTGTTTGTTCCGTCAGTGAGGGTGTGTTTGTGTTTATATGTGGCAGTTGAAATATTTTAGAGTTTACAGGTCCTGTAGTATTTATAATGTTGGAGCCTAGTGAAGTTCAGTGTTTGTTAATTAACTGTTTAGCATGACATTGAAAGAAACCACGGCGGCTCAGGGCTTTACACGCCAACCAGGAACTGGTCTACTGTGACAACTTAATAAGATGCCTCCAGAGTGGCTAGTTTATAGGCAACAGCAGGAGGTAGGAGATGTTGGGTAAATTATTAACAAAGTCATACTTTAAGGTTGATTCTAACATTTGATGAATTAAGAACTTAATTAGTAGAAGATTAACATTATGCTTGTTGATTAGTCAACCTGTGTGTTTACTTTGTTTGC